GATCATTTGCTTTTTATTTTGTAATTAAAAACTAGAATTATTTGTCTTCGAATTATAATAGATTACAAAACAAAACAAACAAACTCTGAATGGCCGATACAATATGAAGAATAAAAGTCTCCCAGCCAGTCAAAGATTTAGAATCTATGCTATAAAAGAGCCTTTTCAGCGTGCAAGATAGGTTAGCATTTGTTCCCATTAACCCCTGCATAAATCTGACACAAAAATCAGATTTTGAAATGTTGCAACGTTTCAGAAGGCTGTTGAGGATTGACAGGTCACGAAACGCTTATCATACAAGTTTATCAATAAGTCGGTTAACACAGGAATTCATACAAATGTTTTTGATAATCTTCTCATTTGGAGGCGTGTTCCCAACGTTTGGAAACCAAGATAAGGCTGATCAAGTATGTTTGTGCTGCAACGAGTGCAATGAATTCAACGTCATGAAAAAGAAATTATACGTATTAAGAACGCAATTTTGTTAATGAACCTTCAGTGCCTAAGATTCAAAATTATAAATATAATCGAGATTACATTATTAGAATATTTGATGATTTTTAGTTGTTTCCCAAACAAATCTATTTCATTACACACTCTTTTATCAGATGCTAGGCGAAGGAATACTGCTCAGTCTCTTGATGCTTATGTTCACTTAAAGTTTTCAGGAAGAAAATGATATTAAAAAACATAATATTTTATAGTATATAAACAAAATATACAAATGACATGCAAGTATACAAAGGATATATAATGATAAACAAAAACAAATGTTGTTATGAAATAAAAGAGAGCAGGGAGTCCTTCTTTCGTTTATCTCAATTGAACCAGAAACAGGTACCTTATAAACTATCAGGGTTCTTATAGACGGCTTCTCATACAAAATTCGTGTACAATAACCCTTTGGGTCTATTTTTGATAATTCGAACTTTTAATGATTTTAAGCATCTGTGGATTACTACGACAGAATAGCGTACTTGAGGCAAGGAAGTGGTGAAAGAGAGGCTCGTGGAGCAAGTCTATATACACCCTAGACAATGGATACGTTTATACCGGAGAAAATCCGAACCTACCAATATTGTTTGATAAGAGTCGTTTTTATTAATTAGGGCGACTCTAGCCCTGTTTACAATACACAAACTGACTTGGGTTCGCCCTAGGTTTAAAGTAACCCTGGTCGAACCCTGATGCGTTTACACGGGAAACTGTCAACTTTGAAGCGTAAACGGAATCAAGGGCGAACCTTGGCTAGCTTGATTTCGACGCATGCGTAACACACACAAATGGAAGGTGAAGATAAACAAAATGGTGGCAGTCAGCGTGTATAGTTTTATGTGAATTTTACAAAATACAATGAATCAACTTTAAAAACAATTATTCCCAGTGCAGGCTTCGTACAGTGAGAAAACTCTGCATTTGCGCTTTGCTTTGTTGTGCAATATGCACAATTGCTGTCACTACGCATGCATCCTACCCAGGTTCGCCCCAGGTTTGTGTTTACGCTACATTTTATCTAAACTAACCCAGGTTCGACCTAAGGCGAACCCACCTTTCGAGATGGGTTGACCTAGATTAGTTTTAACCTTGGCGAACCCAGGTTAGTTTGTGTAAGGTAAACAGGGCTTCTGTTTTGACAGAGTTTTTCAACCTATTTCTTCTCGCAAGCCATGGTATTAGGCTCTAATATTTACTTTCAGATAGGATAAAGATGAAAAGTTTTTTGACATATTTTGATCTTAGTACACTAAGATCGTAAAGCTCTGCAAGTGGTCTACATGACCCCAAATCGAATCTCCAAGGGGCGTGGAGAACAGATAACCTTACTGATACGTGGCCACAAGCTTAAACAAATTAATACCTCAATTTCTCTCTTTCTCTCCAGTTCTCTCTTTCTCTCCAGTTCTCTCTTTCTCTCCAGTTCTCTCTTTCTCTCCAGTTCTCTCTTTCTCTCCAGTTCTCTCTTTCTCTCGAGTTCTCTCACTATTGCAATAAGAAACAATTTCAATCTGTAAAGTCTTAAACTTAGAACAAATCTTATGGCTTGTCGATCTATTGATCCCCTTTTTGAAAATACTATTTACTCTTTCTCCGATTAAGGGGCCAAAAATGGATATCAACGGACCTTGCTTTCATGGTAACGACAATTTTAGTTACGAACTTTATCAGTAGAAATGACTTCTGAATGAAATCTAATCAATGCTCGTAAGATTTCTTTTCCAAAGATTTGTAATCCATAACAAGCTGATATGGCAAGAAATTTCTTTTCTACAAAACAATACTGACTAAAGGTGATATTATTCTGTTCGTTATCCTATAAACGAAAAATTCTAAAAGAATTTATTGATAAAAAACTCATCTTGTGATTATGGTTTGAAAATGAGTCATAGTTTTTAACATTTTCAATGCCATTTTTCGGCTAGCAGTCATTTTTTCATCTGCAAGTGACATACTGTAGAAGTCAATGGCGGGCACTATGTTCTGGGGAGAAAAGACAAACATATTTAGGCCGCGCCCCTTTTCCGCCAGAAAACACCCTTTATCCAACAAGGAGCGCCAATTTTACCTGAAGTAAACGTCCATGGCTCATAACTACTTTGGATCGTAAAGCCGCAGTTTCAAAACCATCGAATTACATTACAAAAAGTACGTTGCCAAAATATTACTCTTATTGACACTCCGCGTCACATAACATTTTATTCCAAAGATAAAAAGCTGCTCAATTTAGCCCGGTTTCCAGTCATACTCTGTTTACAGTCACTACTTTTCATGCAACATTTATGACTTTAAAAGTCTTCTGTAGAAGATTCACAAAAAGCAAAGAGATATAGCGACATATAGTTGCATTTTTGGCCTCAAACCTTAAAAAAAATCAAAGAGCTGCTTGCATATGATAGAAACGCCCTTTCAAAAATCTCTAGCTTAGCAAAAGGTGACCAACGAACTCTCCAAGAAGTGCTTTTGTTCAGGCACGGCGCCATTGGTAGGGGGCTGGGTGCAGCTGAAGCTCTCCCACTTTTTTGGAGATGAAAAGTTTTGACCGTCTCTTTTGTTATTTTTAAAAACGGGTACGAAATAAAAAGAGAACAATTGTTTATATACTGCTTGATTGCTTGGTCAATGTACCAACTTATCTAGGTATATTATATTGTTTGTCTATTATTTGCATCAATTCAGTAGATAAATTTCTATATCATTGCAATGGCTGCACTTTGGATGTGTAAACTTGAGACAAAGTAGATGCACATTTCTTTTCAAGGAGTTAAATTCTCTCAATCAAAACAACAGCTTTTTGTTATTTACATCGTTGTGCAACCTGAACCAAAAGTCACCCTTTCTTTCTTTCCCCAACGTCTGTCATAAAAGTTTTAACATGACTTCTTCCCTCCCAAATTTTTCCTAAATATTAACAATCAATGCTTCTCTGAGAATCGTCGAATTTTCTATTCTGAGCGGTATAGATATTTGTTAAATTTTAGTCTGGCAGATGCATTTTAAGCCATTCATCGGACCCAACCATGGTGTCACTAAACTTGCTTCTTAGCCCCCCCCCCCTCCACCCACACACAGTTTCAATTTGGTGGCGCTACCTCTGTTGTTGTGTCATTACTATCTATGCTACGTATTTTACCAAACTGCCCTGCTTGCACCAATAGCCAAAAATGGTTTTCCTGGAAAGAATGGGCTCCTTTGTGGTTTTTTTTCCGGCCCTCTTCTGGGAGCAACAACGACCCTGAGTAAGAGTAAAATTTCAATCAGTGTAACAAAATAGCAGACGAAAGGAGGGTATGGTAATTGCAGCGAGAAATAGACGCATCCATGACAAGGAAAACTGTATTTCTGTGCTGATCATGTTTCTTGAAACGTATGAACTTCAAGCAGTTACGTACACGTTTTTTTATAAGAAAGTATTTTATAAGAAAGTTGTGCTCGGTTCTTCGAAAGTTAAGAATGTTCAAGGTTTAATCTTTGAAACCTAAGAAAGTTAAAAAATTTAGATATTCAGAGTTTCAAAGGAAATTGTGGCGTAAGAGTGAAATATTTCAACAATACAGTAATGTGCTGAACAGTAAACGACAAATACAGTATGACGTTGAGGGTTTTTGAGAAATTTAGCATATCTATAGCATTTCATCTTCTCGATAACTGCGCGTGCTTAGTAACGTAAAACTTTCCAATTTTACATTAAGAAAGTGTTAAGAAAGTTTCAGTGCTGAAATTAGGAAATAGCTAAGAAAGGACTGGGCTGGGCTGAAAAAACTTTCTTATAAAAATAACGTGTAATGCTGTTTAGTTAATTATAATATCCACCCTTTTCAGACTTTGCTCTAGTTTACCATACTTTCAAAAACATTAAAAGTTCTTTATTAAAGATTTTTTAACTCGTGCACTTATCTACAATGCACAAAATAAAACAAAGTTCACTTGCATAATGTTATCTAGCAGAGGTTTAGATTATAAAAAGATTGTATAAAATTGAAGCAGAGTGTTTTCAGTTTTTTCCATCGATTAGAATGGAAATGTGGTGAATGGCTACTCCAAGCTGTGGTCTACTTCTTGGCAGAACACCATTCCAAAGCAGGTTCTGCAGTTTCTGCTGAGCAAAGAGCTGCAACCTCCGATACACCTATTTCCTCTTCAAACGCAAAATGTTCTTCAAGTAAGTGTTGTTGAGGGGATGGCCTAGTTTTACTATGGGCAAGAGAGATGAGTTGTTTGAGCATTCCTGCATTGGAAACACGAAGTGGAACCATAGAATAGAAAAAAAACTTTCTTCCATTCCGTGATAGAACTTCGTATAAAGACGGAATGTCGTTTAAAGCATTGTCAGACGTTTTTGTTATAGTCGTCGCGGCTTGTCGAGAAATAATTTGCTGCGCAAGACTGACGGTCATTCCTTGTTTATGCGAAGGAGCGCTAGATATCTGTCAAACAATGTATTGGTAATTTGATCATGTTGTGGATTTGATTTAGTACTTTGTGTGGCATAACAGGACGTACCGCGCCCACTATTTAACAGACAGCTCTATACAAGCGAGGAGGTGAGACAACTCACTTGAAACCGGTTGATAAAATCAACAAACAGAAAAGGTACGAACTTTATACTTATATATTATATATCAATATTATGAGAATTTATAGTTAAAGTACACGTAAATTTGGTATCGTAGTTTTATTATAACCAAAAGTTTCATCGACGATTAGCTTCCATTTGTGTTTAAGCGTGTGCTCATTTCAGATAACGCTATCTTTCTGTTCCCTAAGAACCTCTTATTCAAGCACAAAAAGCCATCGATTTACCGAAACAAAAACGCGATTTTTGAATACGATAAAGGAGACATTTCACGTTTTCGCCAAAGCTTCAAGCTCTCGTTGACCCGAAAGACCATTGAAAGTGAAAACCACTCATACTCCAAGAACTGTTTGTTTTCCAAATTCAGGCCGATGTTTAACCTAATCCCCGACGTGCATGGAATTTTTCAAATAATGTAGGCTGTTATATATTTGTCTGAGAAGGTTTTCCAATTCAATAAGCACAGATTAAACGATGTTAGATTTCTTTTAGCAGACTGATTCTTTCAACAAAACAATCACTCTCTCACAACGTATCGCTATGGAAAAGTCATCAGGACTTCCTACTTGCTTGAGACCCTGTTGTTTCACAGAGAGAGGTTATAGGTTTCATAGAGGTGCACATCAGAGGCTTGTCTTGATTTGCAACCCAAAAGTTTTTCTACAGAAAATTTCAGTTACACAAAGATTAGTTGGGTACAAAGAGCAAACCAATCGGAAGTTTCATACTTTTTGACAACAGTTTTTTCTTATATGCCTGCATGTTTTATATAAACTTGACAATGATATATTGCGGCTCATTTTTGATGGGCTATGGTCAACCATATAGGAAATTGACGCGTAGGCATTTTTCTCGGATTCTTGACAAGTTAAGTCAGAATCGGTCGATAGGTGATCATTGAAACCCCCCAACCCCCCCCCCCCAATTAAAGTGATATTGTGACAATCTAAGGGTTCAATTCAGGGGCGGAAATTATGGAGGGCTCACACCCCCAACTAGCGTTCTTGTCGGAAAATTCGGCCTTTCGTCAGATAATTGACAAACGTTTAACTTGCAGAAAGTTATCTTGTCGGAAAATCGTGGGCCTGAGCCCCTCAAAATGATAGCCTGGATTTTCGCCGCTAGTTCAATGTTGGATGCAAGTAGCAGTTGTCGCAACAAAGGGACCCTTTTCAAAAGGTTTAGTAAAGGGTAGTTTCACAAGCAAAGTCAAAATTAACCAGTTTTAAGGCGGACAAGAAATGACTGCTGAAGCTGAATATCAAAAGAGAAGCAAGGTTAAATACTACGCCTAAACCAAGCCCTGCTTTCTTGTTATGGTGTGTCTATTGTAAGAGCCAGTAAAAAGTGCGATATCCCAGAATGGCATTCAAAATGTTGTTCCAACTTGACATCTTAGGATTTTTGCGTAAAGGAAATTTAACCGGTCTTTCAAAATGTGAAAAGAGTGTAAAGGAAAAGACGCAAAAACCAAAGAACTGAAAAAGTACTTTAATGGGTTGCTGTGTCGTATTAATCCTACACAGCAGGTCCTTTTGCGACGAGTTGAAAACAGTTGAAGTGGTTCTCGACAAAGATTAATCTGCTTTCCTGCACATAAAATAAGATAGCACAAAGAAGGAGGATATTACATTAAGAGATATTTAACTAATTGCATTCACTGTCAATTCACTCTAAAACGGATTCAAACATGAGGGTTTAATTGAGCTTGATGTTTCTTAATCGAAAAAGTGATAAAAAAGAACTAATGTATGAACAAGGGAGGCAAGAGCCACAGGAATTTTAACAGGTAATGTCATATCGTGTAACTTATGTCGCAATGTCCCCCAAAGGCAAATGAAAGATTGTCCCTCATCAACTTCTATCCACATTTTAGAAATACCTTTTATACATATATCCTGAGGTTACGGGCGCCATTTTTAGAGAGTTGATTATGGAAAGCGGTAAATCTCCATTAAATTAATTTAGACTTCCTTATCTGCCTCATGATTATATAACATTTCCACAAAAGGCCGTCCAAAACTCTCTCTAATTAAGATCAAACTGTCAAATCGCTGCTCAAACGAATTAGATTTTAGAGAAAGAAAAAAGGGGGTGGCTGGTTTCAGGAGGACACAAGAATCATAGTTACAAATGAAAGCTAACAAACACTTTTTCTTACAAGAGTCTTGTGAAATTTAAGAATTTATTAAAAATGCTCAAAATTCACCGAAAGTTTTATTTTCAAGTATGTATTGTGTTAGTGTATTTCATTTCAAGAAATCTTATCAACTGGTTTATTAAAAAAATTCAAAAAATGTAGGAGGTAATATCAACGAAACGGAATAGATATCGTATATTGTAAATTTCGAATGAATTACTTTCGGTTTCATCTATTAGTTATGAACGACAGGTGCAGGGCCTCCGACGAAGGGGGGGGCCTTTTTGAAAAACAACAAATTTTGATGTGATCGTTAAATCTTCACTTGCCCCCTCTTTCCAACCTGCGTCGGAGCTCATAAGATGTCAAGAGAATGTCAACAAAAAGTGTATTTTCATAGATTCGTTTTTCAAGTCCTATCATTTTAATGAAAATTTTAAAAAGGGTAGAAAAAAATTCCTCTCCCTCCGGTAACAAATAAAAAGGTTTAGAGGAATTTTAAGCTACAGCTACAGTTGATGACTATAGTTTAGTTTATTCAAGGAGCAGTGTGCACCGGAATAAGAATTCTAGATTAAACGGAAAATCAATAAGCAAGCCATGAAAATATTACGTGAACCAACTTTTTGACGTGACCACCAAACCCGAGTTCAAGGACAAGAAGTGAAATATAAGCAACAATGAAATAAAGCGGCTTTCCTATTCAATCTGACTCACAAAATCACATCTTATGATCATTGTTTACGTCTAGTGGAAAGGAGAATGACAATATTGTCGATCCGATTAGGGGAAAATGCGTAATAAGCGGTAAATTTGTTTCTGTGGTAATAAACTAGAAACGGAAGCCATTTTGAAAAAAAATCGGATCAGCCTCGTTTCTAAAGCTTTACCAAATTTTTTCGTAACTGAGTCAGCATTTTACCAAAGAGTATACTTTGACTTCTTCGTTGATTTTTGTTCATTGGGAATATGCACTGCGCCAATTAAGGTTACAATTACCCTACCTCTCAGTCAAGGTTGTAAGTCATTTCAAACAGAGAACAAAATGACCTAACAGTTTCTTTCAAGTCAGCATGAGATACCACGAATTCACCACAAATAAATCCACTATGGAATATCTTTGGCAGGTGTGGAAATTACTTCCCAGTCACGAGTCAGCTTGGTGGACATATGCTGTGTAAAATGCAGATCCATTTATAATAACAAAGATATTCTACATTGTATATTGCGTTACTGTACCTGTGAATTTGCTTGTTTGAGTCTGGCAATTTCACCCTTTTATTTGATCAATTATTTGATCAGTTGCATTTCTTTGCTTTCAAGTTTCATAAGTTAAGAAATTCAGTCTGTCTCTGGTTGTTTTGATCAAGGCCGGAAAATGTGCTCGGAGGACAACGGGCAACACAACTTCGTTTTGAAGCAAAATAAAACATTTATCTTGTACGACAAGATTCTTTGGCCCTTCTGACACCGCATGACCAAGAATGTTTTTGTCAGGTGCACATACTTCTCAAAATTAGATTACGACACAAAATTTGTAGCCGATAAGGTTTTGAATGCAGTTAACAGTTGCTTTAATTATTGGTCATGGAAAGGAGACATAGTGATAGTATCACCTGCGCCACAAGTGCAAAAAATCTCAATTTACCAATCAATCCAAATGTTGATTGCAAATTCAATAAACACCTGCGGAGACTTATTGACTGTCCGTTGCACAAACCTATCCTGCCCGATATAAGATAATTTGATAATATTTTTACGTCCTAAGGAGATGTCCGGCAAGAGAAGGTGTCCGACATTAGGAGGTTTCCGTTGATGGAGTTATCCGCTGTTAGAGGTTTCACTTTACTACCGATATTGACAGTGTTCCCAAGCTAGAAAAATGTCAGTCTGAATCTATTATAGTTTAGCAAATGGACATGCTTATGAGCCAGGCCCGTTACAACTGGAGGCGGAGGAAGACATTACATCTCAAATAATTATTGCAACCATAAAAACTATTTCTTATATGATACAAAACAAGTGTGTGGTTTTCTTTTTGTGAATGTGAGTGCAGTGATGTTTTAACCACCAAAGTCGAATAGTGTAAAAGCGTCTGGAGCTTCAATTTTTTTAATTTGTTATTGAATGTAATATATGCTAGTAAACAAATCACTTAAAGTTCTGTGAAGAAATAAAATAATAAATTTGTTTTTACGCTAAATAAAATATTAACTTGTCTTTGGTATAGAAAACTCAATCCTTGAAAACCAGAATTTTTCCAAACAAATAACAACAGAACGAAAGAAATAGATATTCAATTGGGCTTGTTTTTGCTCTCTTGGCCGCAGTTCATTGAAGGCTATGCGCACCTACGCCGCCAAAGAAGCGCGTCTCTTGACGTAGAGTTTCAAGCCAAAATGATTTTTAAACAAGGTATGTTGCAGAAAAGGCAAATTAGCTGTGGCAAGCTCGACTGTTAAGTTGTGAATCAATAAAAATACGTTTTTTAGCGATCCGTATATAAAGTTTTGTTCTGTTGCAGTCATGGTGAGCGGTATGAAACTATGCAATAAATGCATTCAACATGTGGTTTGTCAATATTCTACATGATATATGTTCACACGAGCACCTACGTGATTGATCTCAATTAACGTACCGTAAATCCTCGAATTGCCCCCCTCGAATAACCCCCCTCCGAATAAGCCCCCACCCTAGAACTACAAATTGTCAATAAGCCTCCCCCCTTCGAATAAGCCCCACTGCTACCGTAAATTATCGAATTGGACCCCTCCATTTGATGATTTTTGCCATCGAATTGGACCCCTCCAATTGATGAGGTTATCAATGGCGTTTTATTGAATTACCACAATAAATTCATACTTTTGGTAGTATTTA